TAAAAAAACAATAAAATAAAAAGAACAAAACCGTTGATTAACTGACCATTTCTGGCACTTAAATAAAATGTATCGAGTCTCGACACACTGGATTTCTGATACCAAATACCTTTAGGTGGCTACCGCAAATTAACACCTCAAGGTTCCGCTACGATGTGTCCCCGTTCACAAGGATCGGCAACAGCTGCGAAATCACGAAAAACGCCGCGGCCAGGTGGATGACGTTCGTGAAGAATCCGTCCCCTTGTCCGATACCGCGAATGAACCCGGAACGAAAGCCCTCCGCGGCGGAAGCATGCCACGCGGCCGATGGCTCGCCGCTTAGAAACGTTAAAACCGAGCCGCTTCGAAAATTCGCGCCGGCTGTGTCGAACAGCGCTGAATCCAGCCCGAAACAAGGTAAGCAAATACATACGTCTCGTCAGTATTTCTTAGAGAAGGCACGAATACATCGGCAATGCAATATTGCAGACAAGTCGGAGCCGAATCGAGATTCGTCAACGACCAAGCATTCGCCCGACGCCAACGAACAATCGAAAAGGCTCACTCAGCGCATGCGAGATCTGTACGACTTCAAAACGGAAAACGAGTGGCCGAAGAGGGCAACGAATGTTCGACGTGGCAACACGTGGATAAGCAAAAGCAGCAGCGAAGAGGAAAGGACTGGTCACCCAGTTCGCAGGAATAGTCAGGACTTGGAATTCAACGACAGAATAAACGTGATCAAGGTGAGCATGAAACATATTCCAATTTCGTATTCATCGAGGTGGTCATGTTGCTAGTTAATTCGAACTTGTATTTTTCAACTTATAAACCATTTTTATCAAAAAAAAAAAAAATATCGCAGCTGAAGGATACGAAGGTGCAGTCCGACCACCAAGAGCCCAAACGACCAAGAACTCCGAAGAAAGAGGAGCCGGCACGTTCGAGTGTCGTCGATGTCTTCAACAGCGAGTACGAGGAACGTTTGAGAAAGTTCAACGAGAGACTCCGATACAGCGAAGACCTAGGTTCGACGAAGCCAAAGATGAAGGAAAGGCGAACGTACTCCGACGACTACGACGAGAAATCTCGTCGTGCTTCCACGCGATCCGCTCGTACGGAAGGTTCGACGCGTACGACACGGACAGACTCGATTCGACTGTCGCGGGCAGAAGGCTCGATTCGATCGACGAGATCGACACGCTCGGAAGATTTGCCAGGGAGTCGCTTCCAAGTCGAGAAGAAGCGGCCTTCCGACGTTAGTATCAAGTCCAGGGCAAGTTATGCCGAGGTAACTCCCACGAGGAAGAGAGATTCCCGCGCGAGCGACGCGAGTTACGCGAGTGTCGCCAACTACTCGAAGAGAGCAAGCGTGGACTGCAAGAGCACGAGAAAAATGGTGGAACTTCCGCCACGAAGAGCTTTCAGTCAAACGGAAGAGAGGCCATCGGCGCCGGTTCCGCCGATAGAATGGAACGACGATCGTTACGCGGCTGCTCGCCTCAAACAGATCGCTGAACGCCAGAAGAGGGACAGCACGAGATACAAAGTGTACCTGACGTAAAATAACGGCGAGGGAAAGCTGCGTTATTTCTTATTCATGCACACTTTTTCGCACTTCCTCGCAATGAGCAACAAGTGTTTGTGAAAATTCCTTCGACGTCTCCGGCAGCGGAACTGACTCGAGAAATGTCACAGAAAACATGCGAAAATCGTGACGCAGGTACGTGGACGTGATAGCATACAAAAGATACGACACGCTTTTGATAAATTTACGTTCAATGATTTATTTCGTCAGCCCGTGTTCGTTAGTAAGGCAATATATTAATCGAATGTTATATATACGTAATTGAGAGTTCACTGGCGTCCGAAATTCCCCCCCCCCCCTCCTCCTCTTTGTCACCGTTCAATGTCAAGCCTTTGAATATGTGCATTTTATATATGAAAGATATCTTGTGTAATTTAAATCGCGACATCGTTGAACCGTACGCGATTAGTTCAATCACGATTCTGGAACGTATCGAACGTGTCCTTTGTGTATCGAAACTCAAAGATCATCGACAATGAGGAAAATGTCGCGATTGAACGTAAAACGTGAAAGTAAAATCATCACCCGATGCTGTACAGATTACATGTAATATGACATATTTAACATAATAAAATATTCTTTAAGAAAGATACGACATTTCACTGGCGAAGAACGTTACTTCGATCGTTCTCGTCTCTAGATTTTAAACTGCACTCGTCAAAAGTCTAACTTGCAATTTCCGTATCTTACGATCTTCTGTACACGTATCCCGAGTAACAGAAAGACGAATCAAACCTTTCGAACAATTCAATGAGTTACATCTAGTTTCATTAGAACCGCAGAGGATCAATCGAAAGATCGTCGAAGGAGAATCGAAATTACCTGTTAAAGTTACGGGGTACTTTCAAACAAATCGATCGATCACTCCGTCAGGAGCAGTTTCGACCTTTTGAGTCAATGTCAATTGTTCGTACGATCGTCCGAACTCTTATTTACGCTCGACATTCCGAAAATCACCACGGAATCCTGAACTGGAGTCTTTGACGAACAATTTCGCCCTCTTCCTCATCGGTACTCCATGCACCGGTGACGTCAGAGCTTTGCAATCCCTGTTCTGCCCACCTAACTGCTCCTCCTCCTCTTTCTCGATCTTCAGCTTCTTCTGGCCGCAGTTCGCCACACTAACAGCGGACACGCTGCTCGTTACAGAGATACTTGACGAACAATTCGTCAGGATTGTGCTCGAGGTGGTTACGACCTGCGCGTTTATCTGAGGCGATTTCGGGAACGTGGAGGATCGCAAGCCGGGCAACGTCCGCGTCAAACTTCCGTTGGGCAACGCCGCCGGCGGAAGAGGACTTTGCGCAACGACTGTCGACGGTGTCATGCTCTTTTTGCACGCGGGATTTGTTACACTGTGGCCGGAAGGCGCGATCATTAACAAATTGTTCCCGTTCTTGTCGCACACGACGTGAGAAATCGGGTGCTGCAGTTGTTTCTGGCTGGCAAAGCTCGTCCTGTACATGTGACTCTCGTTCAGCTGTTTCTCCTGCTTCAAGTACGCCGCCGAGGCTTTCGCGTGATAGCTCGTTGAATTTTGAGCGTTGAAATTCGGCTCGCACTTGATCCGGACCTCGTGCTGCGTCACCTCGTTTTGCTGCTCCTGCGCCTTTTGCCATTCCAACACGTTGCTCAGTAATCGTATGTACCTGGAGAATTGTCGGATATATACATCGAATTTTCGTGAGAAGTTATTTATGACAACAACTTTTCGGAAGTCCAAAGACCAAGATTCTCTTTAATTAATTTCTTTCGGGGAAAAGTTTACCTAATAGCCATTCGCAAGATCTCGTTCTTCGACAGTTTCTTGTCCGGTGGATGAGTAGGCACTAACTTTCGAAGCTCGGCGAAAGCTCCGCTGACATTCTGCTGTCTCCAACGTTCACGGCTGTTCGTGAACAACTTGCGAACTCCCAGTGTCCCTACACGAGGAGTTGGTGAACCGAGGTGACCGCCACCGGATGACGAAATCCCGTCTAGCTATGAAATTATTACGAATTTTAAGAATCATCACAGAGCGCCACTTCTCAACTGTAAACACACGTATTTGTACACTTTTACTAGTCATTTGTTAAACATAACGTATTAAATTTTGACCCATTTCCAAATCAAACAAACAACTGGCAATTTGTTTCTAAAAGATTCTATTCTCTTTCTGTCGACCAATTAAAGACCAAACAAAGTAATTCTCCTATACTCGTAGAATCTGAGTGAATTTAGAAACCGTCGGAATTTCCCTTTGATTGAAAAAGAAAAAGAAAAAACCACTTTTCCATACTGTAAATTAATAGGAAAGAAGAAGGACTTTAATAGAATGAATCTATCGAGCGACGTTAAGATCAATTAGAATTTTGCTCACGGAATTGTTGCGATCCCGCCTTTTCTTGCCTTGCTGCTCCTCCTCCTCGTCGGTGTCATGGGAATAAAATTCATCCGAGAGCGTGGCTTCCTCCTCCGTGTCTCTCGACGTTCCGGGAGAGTCGCCGACTTCCTCCGGCAGTTCCCCTTCGCCGGAAAGTATCGACTCGGCTGGCGAACCGTTCTCCGTGTCTACCGTTCCTCCGGCGCAGCCATTGTACGTCAGCATCGACTGCAATTTATTAATTAATCGTCTCGACGTCGCTCGGATCATTCGTTTCTCGACGCGAGAGACTCGTTCGTAGAGAACGATCGTAGATTCTTTAACTCTTCAACTCTTTTAGCTTTGTTGCTTTCGGCAATGTTTCGACACTTTTTGTTTCGCGAGCGACGCTCTAGACTAAAGACTGGAGCAGACGATAGATGTAGAAAAGACGCGGGAAATCTGGATGTAGTATCACGAATGAAATTAGACTACATAGGCGCCAACAGGATGCTGCTATCGCAACCTCCCTCCGCGCTTTCGTCCCTGACATTCAATAGATCCACGTCCGCGCATGGACGAGTTATTATTCCGCTTTGCAAGTCGACGAAGTTTGAAGAAGAGAAAGAAACAATCGTCTAGCCTCTTTTTTTTTTTTTTTT